ACACACACACACACACACACACACACACACACACACACACACGAGGATGAAAAGCAAGCAATTCAAAGTGGTGTCCTCAAAAATATTTGAAATGATTGTGCTATAGGATTAACTCAAAATGAATTTCTAAAAGGTTAGTTTGTTTGTAAAAATAGCCAAGGCCTTTCCAAGTCTGACTCTTAGTGGAAAACATCCTCCCCAAGGGTTCACTGACTAATCTGCCATCAGTGGAACTAAGTAAAAGATCACCAGGGAAAGTTGCATCTTCCTGTATTTAAGTTTCTCATGATTATGGACAGACCTTTACTCAGTTCTAAATTTGGTAATTCAATAGAACATGGAACAATTCCAGATTAGCACAGTGAATTTTAATAATACCAGCTGTTAAGTCTGGGTCAGAGCACCTCATTTACATTATTTACATAACATGTATGATCCACATTCCTGTAGTTCTAAACCATTTGTCAATTATTTGGTTCTGCTCATTTTTATTTTTTAGAGGAATTGGAGACCACTGGCATTTGTAGCCCCATCATCTGGCTCTCATTAACTCCACCTGGATACTGGTTGGAAGCGGGGTAGGTAGTGAGCAGCCAGAGAGGAGATGAAAAAGGTGCTATGTTAGGGCCATCACATTTAACCTTCTGACATATTTACCAAAGAAAGACACAGAGGCTCAGGCTGGTTATGTAACTTGCCCCAAGTGACCCAGCTCCCCAGCCTCCTCAGCCCTGCTTCCTGCTGCTCCACAGGTGAGGTGTTGGGTTCACTGTGGCAAGCATGAAAGGCATTCTGTGAGTAGGACACTGAGGCCATAAAAACTGGTAAGACATTTTTATCTGATTTTGCCCAAGAATTCTAAACTGTATTAATCTAACCTTTCTTTTAAAAGGAAAAAGACCCTAATGCAGTATTTCTTATTTTCTTGCAGAGTAAGCCGGCAAAATGTGGTAAGATTTAAGCGGGTTTCAATTAATTAGTATAAAAATAACCTTGCTTAAGAATATTTTGAGAAGTTAATTTTATTGAAACATAAAAAATGGGTAGCAATGAACAGTGAGGTCCACAAACGTGGCAGGAAAGACAGGCGCGGTAATATGAAAAGGCGATAAGGGGCGTGAAGACAGGAGCTCTCATTAAAGAAAAATAAAATTTAGTCAATTCACTGAATTTAAGCCTCAAAGGAATGTAATACTCTGCAGAAAGCATGCCTAAGGCAAGTCACTTAAAAAAAACAAAACACTGTTTCAGACAAGTGAGAAGGGAAAATGAGGCGGTATGCCTGAACTGGAAGCATCGCCAGCAGCAGGTGCAGCTGAGCGCACTGCCAGCAGACTCCAGGCTGCGCTGTGTACCAGCGAGGTCTGAACCAGCCACCGCGTTCTCAGATTGCACACTCTCTCCAGCTCCTACTGGATACAATCCAGCTGAGTGGATGATCAGTGAGCTGGGGGCAGGGAGGGGGCTGCTGACTGTCTCCGTGTGAGGCCAGCTGCCCTGCTCTGGAACTCATCCTTCAAGGCTATTAGCTTTCAGAACAAAGGATTAATTCTCTTTCTTCTATTATTACCCAAACTAGGAGCACCTCTGAACTGAAAACAGGATCCACAGTTGGGACTTTTGTCGGTGCCAAAGACACTGTGATTTCTTAGGTGAATGTCATAATATCTTTATTTCTCTGCCACCATCACAGCTCCCCTTAAATTGAGATTATAACTCAGTTTTGGCCAGCAGGCAGTTCAGATGTTATAATTTATTCAATCATAGTGTAAAAAATGGAAAGAGGACATTTGAAAATTTAGGAATCTGCTCTTTCAGGAGTGGGATGTGCCAAGGCACAATAAGGAGACACGTGGATGTGGCTGGAGTCTGTAGACACATTAGTGGAAAATTCCATCATCCATGAAGAGAATCATATCTTGTGGTTAAGCTGTTTTCAGCAGTGAGGCCAGAGGAAGGATGGGCTACTGCAGACTTTTAATATGTGTATTCATTGAATGACATGGAAAAATGGGAAAGCATAAGGTGGAATATACTCAGTGAGAGTTTTGGAAAACATCAGTAAATAGAATAGAAGCCAGCGTCCTCTACATGTTTTAGACAAATCTTTGGCCATATTTTACCATGGCACAAAAAAGAATGGACAAGTGGGGTTTTCCAAGCAGAGCAGGCAGTGAGAGAGGCACACCTAGGGCCGAAACAAGGCTAGCTAATAAGACTCAGGTTGCAAA